ATTTTATATTTTCTAAGGGTGAAAATCTCAGTGGGAAACTATGTTATCTGAACAACAAGATGCTAAATCTAAACAGTCTTTCAGTACTTTTCAGCTGAAATCAGTGTTAGTAGGCTGTATCAGGCCAAATAGGTGCTGTTTCCTTCTTCAGGTCCTCTGAAATAATATATCATTATGCAGAACAGGGGGATTCAATGGTTGAAATACAACTCAATCATGATAGCAGAGAATGACCTTCAGGTGTTACCATCTCTGTGATCCAGCAACTACCCTCTATTCCCTTTTGAACCTACAGTAGAGGTAATTTTGGGAATAGTATTATAACAAAAATAATAAATGAAACCTTTCATTCTAAATATATAAATATTTTTTGCTACTACTGAAATAGATTGGGACTTATTCTCAATATTATGATTAAATGGTACTTTTTCAAAAGGTAACTGGACTTTGTTTTTCTTTGAAGACGTTTTGCTTTTCATCCAAGAACCTTCTTCAGTTCTGACTGAATGAATGGTGGAGGATGGAAGAACTGAAGTCAGAACTGAAGAACTTTCCTTGAACATCTTCAAGGAAAAACAAAGTCCAGTTGCCTTTTGAAAAAGCACCTTTGGGACAACCATGACTTGGATGACAGAGAATCTCCACAGACATTATGATTAAATGGGATCCTATGGAGAAAAGTAAGTAGGAACAAAGCAGGTGAGAAAATTACACACACACATACAGCAAGGGAAATTGTTTCCAGTTGTGTCTATTTATTGGCATTCACACATCACATTTTGTATATAAATACTGTATATGACTAGTTCAGATTGTCTAAATTCAACTTCAAAATACCTCAAATACCTAAATATCTCAAAAATTCAGATGGGTAGCTTCTTGCTTCATTTTTAACATGACTTTTGCTAATTTCCAAGAGATCTTTGAGGTTTTAACTGTAATAATTGTAAGTTTGTTCTTTAGTATAAAACTGTTATAACATTTGCTGTATCTTGGGTCAATTGCTTTGATGCTTCATGCATCACTTCATGAATTTTTATAACCATCATTGAGGTGGTCTGGTGATAAATAGTATAATGCTGGCGTAAGACCAGAATATCAAATGGAAGAATGAGACTCTCAGTATTTAGTAAAAATGGATATTGACAGACAAAATTACAAACAACTGAAAAAGAAAGTATTGTTATCTGGAAAAATATATTTGGCACTCTTCTCACTGTCAATCATGTGGCTGGCACAGGGTTTAAAGCAGAATGAGTGGTTTTACTTGGCTTTAAATATGAGTTTTAAAACAGATGTTGGTTGCAAAAGACGTTTTAAAAAATCAGGAACCAACCTACCTTCACATTTGTGAAATTTTAAAAGTGAATGATCTAGTGTGACTCATTATTATAGTAGCAATTTATCAAAATGATTGGCATTAAAATCAAGCATTACGAAGGGATACTGTTGCCTGTTCTTCTAGCCAGTCTGGAGAAAATAACTTTGTAGTTCTACTCTTCAGTTCTTCATCCCACGTCTACAGATGTGGGAGTGAATCTACTCTTTGTCATATTGAAATCAATGCCAGCAGAGTAATGGCAAGGGAGAGGTATTAACACCATGATGAAGGGAGCAACACCCCCCCCCGAAATGGGGCTTCCCAAAGCTGTAAATCAGCTTTGCTAAACTATCTCTTTAAAAGTGTGGTATAAACTCTCAGAACTCCTCACCACTCTGGCCAACAATCATCCCAACAGGGAATTCTGTGATAAAGAAGTCCAGCAGCACATCTGGAAGGGACTATATTTGTGGTTTAGGCATAGATCAATGGAAAGGAGTGATCTGCATTTTATGGGTAAACAGCAAAGGAAGAATTCATACTGTTCCTCCAGAAAACAGAGGTGTTGAGTGGAAAAAGATATTTTAAAAAGCTCACTAAATTTCAAAATAAAGTCTTGGTGACTCAATATTATACTATAGATTTTTTTCAACAAAACAGTGCTTCTAAGTCAGGGGTCCCCAACCCCCTGGTCACGGCCCACTACCAGGCTGCAGAGCAGCCTGTTTCAAACATCTTGGATGAGAAGCGAAACGTCTTCAAAGAAAAAAACAGAAAGTCCAGTTGCCTCTTGAAAAAAGCACCTTTGGGACAACCATGACCTGGATGACTGAGAATCTCCATAGACATTTGGGCAGCTTACAATATGAAAAATCACTTATAACAGTAACTTTCACCAAAGCAGTTTTCTTCTGTCCTGTTGATAAATACACTCGTGTATTTAATATGCTTTTATATAGTAAACTCTTGATTTACTCAAATAGTGGGGAAATTGAGTATCCATTAAAGCACAACATCCAAATAAGATTTCATGCATATGCATTTTATATATTTCATGCATGTGTGAAACTGCAAATGAGGTTGTGATTTGATTTGATTTAATTTAATGTATTCAATTTAGGATCCACCTGATTCCAAACTGATTCTGAGAGGTGGTATAATAAAACCAAACAAAATACAAAATACACATAATACAATATGCTAAGAAACAAGCAAGGGGAAAAAAAAACTATTTACACATATCCAGAAGCACAGGAACCCAAGCAGAGACTTTTTAAAAAATTGGTTCATTGGGGTTGCAAAGATCCAGATGCCCACTGGATGGAAGCAGCAACATATCGGAAACTCTAATTCTTTGCTATCATCTAGTGTTTATGTGAAGTTTTGCAGTCCTGATTCTGACAGTCTTGGTACCATATTTTCACAATGATATACTGGTGCAGTGAATGATAAAAGGTTTCTCTGATTTGCAGAACTGAAAGAATAAAGAAAACCTGATATACTGAGAACAAAACTCGGTACAAACATTGTGTGGAATATATGCAAAAACCACTAAGCTATCCTTAAACCTCAAAAATACTAATTGTTCCATTGTAACTTTTCCGCCAGAATTTGTGGAGCTGGATCGGTATGGTAATTCTTTTTTTTTTTTTAATTTGATTTATATGCCGCCCTTCTCCGGAAACTCAGGGCGGCTTACAATGTGCTCAGCAATAGCCTTCATCCTTTTGTATATTTATACAAAGTCATCTTATTGCCCCCACAACTGGGTCCTCAATTTACCTACCTTAGAAAGGATGGAAGGCTGAGTCAACCTTGAGCCTTGGCGAGATTTGAACCTGCAGTAATTGCAGGCAGCTGGTCTTAATAACCAGCTTAATAACAGGGTGCCTTAGACCACTGTACTACCAAGGCTCTTCTTTGGCTAGTACTGTATAATAAACTTTACACTGCATTCTGAATTTCTGCACACATTTGTACATGTACATAAATAAAACTGTATTTATGTTTATATATCACAATATATTTGGGGGAATTAAGATTTATTATTGGGACATCTGTCTTCAAAGCAAAAGGACCTGACTATTTAGTTGGGTTCTTTTGCTCCCATCAATGAACTGAGCTTTTGTGTAGGAAAAGATTATATACAAATGATTTCCAAAAGGTAAAGTTATGTATAGTTTTTATTCTTACTGTTGGTCAAATTTTGCTAATATAACTAACTCCTCTCTCATACACAAATGTAAGTCTAAAATTCCTGAGAAAGTAATAGAAATTTTATTTTTTTATTTATTGAATTTCTATGCTGCCCGTTTTACTAATACGTGAAAATTACTCAGGTGCTCCTTTCTAACATCAGCTCTTATGATGCAGCTTTTTAAAGATACATATGTCAAACATATGTTCTTTTCCAATACTGTATACATACTCTATTTCTGTGGACTATTTTTCCGAACGGTGTTCTTTTTCAATTCTCTCCCTTGCAAACAAGTGAAAGTTTTTCAAAGGTTTTTGACCATGGAAATGTGGATGTGAGTAGATTTTATTCAATGCTATAGTCCTTGCAATGATGGAAGCTATCCTGACAAATCTCATAAACCTGTTATCTTAAAAATGCACAAAGGGTTTTTTAATGGCTTAAGGCAGGAACGAAAAGAACTGTGCTGCACGAATCACCATGTGTGAGATTCTGTTTAAAATATTGGTGCCTTCGTCCCTGAGACAATGGATTCTGAGTTGTCGCCTAAATAGCTGACAACTTGGTTTGTGGGATAATGACTAAGAATAGCTTTTATTGTAACCAATCATTGAACTCTGGGGACATTTACTTTTATGGTCTCTGCAGCTTTGGGGGAAGATTGAATTGAACTCTTAGACCAGGATCAGTAATCAGCAGCTTATGAGCTGCATACAGCCTCAACTTGAAGTTTGTCTAATTACTAAATATACTTTAGTTGTCTTCTTTTCTCCTTAGAGTACTGAAAATACTTCCTGCCAATAACTGAAAGAGAAAGTTACAAGGCAGCATGTGCATATAACTAACCTCTTTTTTTTTCTCTGGGCAACTTGATTGATTGATGCCTGGTTTTTTTAAAGCAGGCACGGGAAAAGTTTGTCTTCTATATATTTTCAACTCCCCAAAGTCCCAACCACCAAGGTTACTAGTCACAGAATAGCAATAGCAATAGCACTTAGACTTATATACAGCCCTCTCTAAGCGGTTTACAGAGTCAGCATATTGCACCCAACAATCTGGGTCCTCATTTTTACCAATCTCAGAAAGACGGAAGGCTGAGTCAATCTTGAGCCACTCAGAATCGAACTCCTGGAGTGAGCAGTGAACTAGCCTGCAGTACTGCATTGGAGTATTATCAGAATCTTATTTAATGAGACTAACAAATGCTGGATGTATCATATATGTATCTGCAAGGAGATAGAACTTTTATGAAGTTTTTTCAAATATCTATTGCAAAGATGGGGTGGAAACATTTTCCAAGGCTATTCCACAATTTGTACAGAAAGACACTTTTCTTGATTCGATTATGCCACTGAATGTTTGGTTTTTATCTTCGATTTTAAACTTTGTTGCACATTTTAAAAGAAAGCACACAAAAATTTATTTCATGCCACTTAAAATTTATTTATTTCATGCCACTTAAAATTAGAAATAAATTGTTACCATTAGCAGGAAGATAGGTGAATAGTTGGTACTGGCTTCTCTTTCTCTTTCCATTGCAGACATAGAAATTGACTTGGACAGGACTTGTAATTCTCTGATTGCGGAATGGTGGAATCTCAGCAACTAATAAAGTCTAAAAAGAGGATAAAAGTATATTAAGGGTGAATCACAGTTAAAGAACATTTCAATCTCAAGAATAAAACAAACAAATGCCCTGGCAGGCACTGAAAAAGGTAAACGACCTGCCTTAAGAACATTGGAACGTAAGATTAGCCCACTAATCATTATCATCAACATTTCTTGAGGACCTATCCTCCTAAGAAAACTCCTATCATGCAGCTGACTTGCTGAGACAGGCTAAAGTTGGATCAAATAATCCAACAGGAAAGATCTTCCATGGGAAAAACAAAGACCCCTTTGCAGACATTAAATTGGGTTAGAAACCTGTTGAGCTCCTACTCAATATTGGATCCAATATTGAGTAAGAGCTGGAATTCCATGGCCCTACTTACTATGGCTGCCAGGGTGCACTTTGCAGCTCTTCTGTAACTATCTCCTTTCCTTTTTCTGATGCTTTTTTTTCAGAATACAGAATAGGACTTGTAGAAGACCAAATGTAAGACTTCTATGAGCTTGACAATCCTCATAGAATTTGTGCAGAAAAGTAAAGAAGGTGCACACAGAAAGGATCTTAAAGGCTTCTCCAAATCCAACAGCAATTATGAGACCTATTGTAGGCAGGGCTCTTGGGAATATAGCTCCAGGGTTGCAGTTGCAACTCCTGCGCTGCTCCTCAAAAGCTGAAATGGTGCTGCTCTCAGTTTTGCTTGATGCTCCAGAACTAGATACCTTTGGGGTCCTTCTTTCACCCACCCCTCTTCTCCCCTGAATCATGTCATCTATTTTGACACGCCAGAACCTCGATACATCTGGCTACTCTGGTGGTGGCAGTTCTAGTGCTTTCTTGCATGTAATCGTTTTAAAAGGAATGGAGGCGAGTTTAATGTCAACCCACTTATTTTAACTGCCCAGAGAATGCCAGGCATGCTGGTTTCTCCACTCTGACTCCCCTGCCTCTTCCCACTGCAGGTCCAGAAGGCAGGATCAGTACCAGCCTGACTGCAGAGATGTGGGAAATAGTAGGCTGTGAGAGCGGTATTATTATTATTATTTTAAAAATCCCTTCTCAAGAATAGAAGCACATCAACAGAATGGTATGGAGGAGCTCTTAGCTTAGTATTTAGATTTTCATAGTGGATACAAGAAAACCTTCACCTAATATTTGAAGGCATGCCAGCTCCATCCATTCTAGAAGTTAGTGGTTTGATAGGCTATCCTCCATACATCTATCTACTATCCTTTTTAAGCCATCCAAATTAACTATTCCAGCCACGATTGTCCTATTCACAATGATCTTTGCTCTGGCCCTAGTTAAAACTTAGCTCTGTTTTCAGAACCAGGTTAGGTTGGGTGATAGATCCCATATGTATGTTTTATTTTTAAACATGACTGTTATTTTTTCCCCGAGTTTTCTTTTTTTTTTATTATTGTACCTTAATCATTGAATTTGTAAGTCACTGAGAATCAGAACAGATTAGGGAGACATCTAGGTTTCATAAATGAATGAATAATCGATTACCATTCCTTTTACAGTTATACCTTACATTTAGCTTTATTGTGAGAAAAAATATAATTAAATGAGCCAAAGACATATGATTAAAAACATTATTTAAATAAGAGTTGCTTGAACTCAAATAGGTATTTTTAACTTCATCTTGACATTTATGTATGATTTACATGTAATTAATATGATAATAAGATAAAGTGAAGAAAATGTGCAGATAAATACGTCCAGAGAAACAGCACAGTATTTTTCAAAAGGCAAAAGAGGCACTTACTGGCTTACACAACTCTTTGTCAGTTTTGGCTTCCATTTCCCACACATGATGACCATCTAAAGATAAGGACATGAAAGATCCAAATTAATGTGCTTAGTGCTTTATAAATCACACAAATAGGAGGGAGGGCTTCCCTTTTAAGATATCTTTATTATGCAGACATGATATTCAAGATGAGCTCAGTTTTGTAGTGAATAAAGAAATAAACACTTCTATCTATTAAAGAAGTTTGAGGCAGGGAAGGGAAGGATTTATCCGCTGATCCTGCTTCCAAAGCCAAAGACCTGGTTCAGTCCCCAATGCTCTTTGTTTTTATCTAATTTGGCAGAGTTGCCTAATTTATGAAAACATTCTATCAAAAGAAGTAGGATCTCTTCCCAATTGTGATAGGTAATCTCTCTGCAATTATCATAATTATCATCCACTAGCTTTTAATTTTTTTAAAAAAATGTGTATTTTATAAAATATAACATAATGTAGTGGTTTGTTTGATTTTATCTATTCCTATTCATATGAGCGTTCAATTGCAACTGTAGTTTATATTCTGTCTAAAAGAAAGTTTTTACAGGATGTAGAGCAGGGGTCTCCAAACTTGGCAACTGTAAAACTGGTGGACTTCAACGCCCAGAATTCCCCAGCCAACATGGCTGTCTGAGGAATTCTGGGAATTCAAGTCCACAGGTCTTAAAAGTTGCCAATTTTGGAGACCCCCAATATATAAAGAGAATAAGAGTCAGATTATTGAGTAGGTAACATGAAGTGTCTGTGTTGGCGTACATGAACCCTCAACTGATTCTGTAATGTCAGAAGTTCCACGTGAAAGATATGTTATCATCATAGCTTCTGGGGCTAATGTTGATGAAATATCAAAGTTTGGTGGTGGCCAATTGTGCTAAAGAGACTTGACCAGTGAAAAGTCTAATGTGTTCTCAGGCTTTTGATATTAATAGAATGCCTTGAAAAGGCTAACTGGGTCTAACTGAGGACCCGGATTGTGGGGGCAATAAGCTGACTTTGTATAAAATAGAACACTGCTTGGGGGGGCCGAAAGCCCTACTAAGCAGGTATGTACAAAAGTATGAAGGCTATTGCTTAATGCATTGCAAGCCGCCCTGAGTCTCCAGAGAAGGGTGGCATATAAATCGAACTAATAAATAAATAAAATAAAATAAATAATGCTGAGCAAAAATATATTCCAGCCATGCCCTTTTCTGGCTCAAGACTTAATTCTTAATTCTTTTTTCCCACATTATATTGTGATAACTACATTGTGGATTCAAGCTAGAGGAAGCCAGGTCAAATGCCTACCCAGCCATAAAGATTATAGGATCATGATTGCACATCTTTATTGATTTCTCTAGGTTATTATGATGATTAAAAATGGGAAAAATACTTTCTGGCCCAAGGCCCCATCAGTAAGGCTGAATGAAAATGCTCTAGGTAGAATAATCTGAATTGATATCCATTTGTCTTTCTGACACTTTTATAAATGAGCAACAGAATGTTTAAGATTTGGTATATTTAATCTGTTCTGAAAAGAGGAATTGCTCTGTCCTATTTTCTAGTTTTCAAGCAGGTAAAGCGTTTTTGGGTGTTCAGGAAAGTACATTTTAAGAATAACAAGTTTTTTTAAAAGTCCAAAAGCAGGGATGATACTGAGTGTGTTTGGCAATCTGAAAGAAGCAAGCGTTACTGCTGCTGTATTACGAAATTCCTCTGAGAATTTCCAGACTTTCTCTATTACAGAAAAGGAGGGGGGGAAATAAATTACTTAATAAAAATAAATTTCATTTACAAAAGCAGAGTAAATCAGTTATGGTGCTTTGAGTCAGTTGGTGCCTATATGGACAGTTCCATGCAGTTTCTTGGCAACATTTCTGAGGTGGTTTGCCAGTACTTTCTCAGACTAGGAGACAATGGCTGGCCAGAAATCATCCAACTGTTTTCATGCCTAAAGAGGATTAGAACTCACTATCTCCCACTCCTAATTGAGGACCTTTAACTGCAAAAGTTAAGAGAGAGGAGAGGAGAGGAGAGGAGAGGAGAGGAGAGGAGAGGAGAGGAAAGGAAAGGAAAGGAAAGGAAAGGAAAGGAAAGGAAAGGAAAGGAAAGGAAAGGAAAGGAAAGGAAAGGAAAATCAGACAATTCCTCATATTACGTCTGGTGAACCAAAAGGGAAATCTCTACACCCACAGACTGGGATCCACTCCAAGAGAGAAATCCTAGATCATTACACCAACAACTCTACAGTAAACATGTTTTGTAAGTGTATATGGATCAACCTGTCTATTTTTAAGAAAAGACACAGGAATGGATGAAATAATTTTTAGGAGTCTCAAAATGCTAAAAAGACTTTCTTATCCTGGGGAAAAGAAGTTTTATGTCAGTACAGTATTTGCCAGTTTTCCTATCCAAGTATGCAAGATGCCGTCTCTCGTCAGACTGTGCTAGAAAAGTGAGGAGTGATACGCCACAAAAGTTTCCATTGTAAAGCTGCCACATCTGCATCAGCCTGGCTGACTCACAGCTGAAGGCAACTCCCTGCCTGGCTAAAATCCAATGAAAGTACACCAGAGCAATTTATACCTTTCCAAAATGCAAATAATTCAAATTACAGACATAACATAAAGTTGAAACAGACACATTTCAGGCATTCCCTGTTTGAACTGAACTTACTGAAGGGTTTCTTCCAAATGTTGCTTATTATAAATGTAGAAAATGCCAATAAGGCAAAAAGTAGCAAATCTCTCATCTCTCATCATCACCTATTTCATCCCCTCAAAAACAAAAAGAAAAAAAACCAACAAAAAAACAAAAAAAACCCCAAACCCCTGCAAGCAGGTTGGGGGGAAGAGAGAGAGAAAAAAATCCTGATTTTTGTGAGTTCTGTTTATTTTATTTTCCGTATGGTTGGAGTAAAAGCTTTAATCCTTCAAAATCTGACGCATGGTAATTTTAGGTTTCTTTGTATTAATTTAAAATTGGAGTCTAGAGAAGTTGAAATGGCAAATGCACAACTTATTTCTAAACACACTCATGTTAGCAAAATAAGTTATCTTTTAAAAAAAGGGGGGTTCCTTGCCTATTGTTTGTGTCTTAACTGCTCAAATTAATGCCAGATTCTGCACAGGAGATTCAGTCCTAAGGTTATGTCCATCCAGGGAATACAGATCCAGTCCTGACACTTCTGAAGCTGTTCATTAGCTTCTTCTCTTACCTAAGGGAAACAGGCTAACTAAACAGAGGCACAACCTTCCTGTTTATACAGCTGAAGGCAAGGTGGGGGAAAATCCCAGAACAAGTTAAATTCACAAATATAAACTGAAGCGTTCCCTTCATTTTAACAGGGTCTGAAATACAATTAATTAGAGAGATTAAGAGTGGCTTCTCACATTCACTTCCTGTGCTGAAGTCCCCATGTTGTTGTTTTTTCTAAGTGGGCTTTGTTTGCACCATACAAATCCAAAGGACTTAATAGAGGGTGTTTTTCTCAAATCCTGGAGTGGCTTTCATTTTGGCAGCCTACCAGGAAAAGCCATAATTAACTCCTTCAAACATGCACTTCCCTGTGTTGCCGAGAAGAGTTCTGGCTCGTGTGCGTGTGTCCTCACATCTAATAGGAACTGTTTCCCAGAAAAACCAAACACCAACACAATTTTTCTCATTAGGATGCAGATAAAAATATTCCTGTAGGACAGAAGTGACTCAGTCGTCATTCAGCGATATGGGCTGTTTTTCACGCAGAGGGGGAAAAAAGATTCTTGGAACTGAGAATAGTGGCAGGGAGTTTTGCACCCCTATTTCATTACTTCGTAGGCTGGTTTTGAATGGCTAAAAATAAAAGCAAAGTTCCAGAATGGAATGTCTCAGCTCTGAATAGGTCTTTGTAATTCACTCTGTATCCACCATTCTCTGCAGAGTTAAAAAGGAAACTCGGCAGAAGTAAAAAAAAAAAAAATCTAAAATCATCAGGGAATTCCCTGCACTGAGTCACAGAAACGGCTTCCCCACCACACCCATTGAGAAGATTTCCACATAAAAAGCCACTGGAGGCTTGTTCTAACACAGCAGCAAAAGAACTAAAAGGTGTTTTGTGAACCTCATCATCCTGGTTATTTCTAGGCAGCATTTCTATTAGGGGGTATTCCATTCAGTATTTTTTCTTCATATTAATTAAAATCTCAATAGTAACATGGGAGAAATTTAACTAGAAATAGATTGAATTATTGAATCATTTATTGAATGAATGATTAAGCTTTAAGGCTAAGCCACAACTCGGAAAAGTCTCTCTCTATAAACAAGCTTGGAACTGAAACCCAGATAGCTAGGTAATGCCTCAGAATTGCACTATCTGGTTTTCTTTTCTCCAGGGAGGAAATTCTTGCTCCCTGGAGAAAAGAAAATTCTTGCAAGTGCAAGAATTTTATGCAATGTGTTAGTAGCTTTTGACTTTAAATAGAATTACAGAATCAAATGCACTTTTGAAATCTATCTGGGTATTTAGTTTGGCTGGAAGGATGATTCAATGCAGATATATCTTCCCTAAGGAGTCGACTAGGTTCAGATAGACAAAGCTGCTTAATTCACTAAGGGGGTACATATGCCAACCTTCATCAACCTGATGTCCCCACCTTCAGATATGCATTGAACTATAACCATATCATTACCATGACTTGGCTGGCATTTATGAAAGTCATAATCCAATATACGGTAAGAAACCTAGATTGGGTATATCTGACCTAAGCAGTGGTGGGATTCAATATTTTTAACAACCGGTTCTGTGGGCGTGGCTTAGTTGGGGGTGTGGCTTGATGGTCATGTGACCAGGTGGGCGTGGCTAGCTGGTCATGTGACCGGGTGGGCGTGGCTATGTGCATAGGGACTACGCAGAGGGCTGAAAAAAGTCATTTCTGACTGGTCCTCGCACTTATGACCATCCTCACATTTATGCCCATTGCGACATTCTTAACAACTGTGTCAGTCATTTCACCACTACTTCTCTTCACCATGGTGACAAGATAGGGCGTAAAACGTAAAATGTAAGGACAGTCGTAAG